AACAAGCGGGAAAAAATTCACGCATGGGCACGAAGGTTCAAGATCGGCTCATGCAAGCGCGCTTGATTCAAATCCATCAGGTTATCGCAAAAAAAAAAAAAGGTCGGATACTTTTCTCACAGGCCTCGTATTGTCAAACTCATCATAAGGATAATAATTTTGGGACAAGAAATTATTTAAAACTGTCTCATTAGGTTGTAATGTTTCAGAATGATGTAAATATATCTGATATTTTGGTAAGTTAATAATAGACATTTCACTGTATTATAATAAGTACATCAGAATTCTAACATATGTAGCTCTTGGGGTCTTTTAACCTGGTTGTTTAGCTGAAAAAAACAAACAAATTGAGGCTTTGAAGGATTAATGAATTATTACATGGTCCACTGAAAAAATATATAAGGACCTTCTCTGATTAAACTTGTTCAAGTGTTTGTGATTTTCTTGATTAATCACAAGTAACGTACTTGATTAAATATAATTTTCTATCAAATCTGTTTTGACATTGAGCAATAAGCTTAATGTGAAGTTTAACTTGTATGTGGAGTAGTATAGAATGAATGTAAAACTGTCATTTGGATGAAAATGTAATTGTTAGTGAGATTTGGGTTAGAGAAGACAAAAAGGAATGGAAAGAATGAGAGAAAGATGGGATTCCATCTCAAAAATTATTAATAATAATTTGAATCAGATTTCCATGGCTAAGTTAAGTCAAACTGATAAATATTCTTCATGATTTGCAAGCAAAATAGGAAATTCATGCACAATGTTTAATTGTTGGTGTCCTTTAACTCTATTGTTTCTGCATTGAATTGGTTTATTACTATCATTTCATGTGAAAAACTTGTTTATTATTGGATAAATAGAGCATGATATGTATGGTTACAACGTTTCACTAGGTTAACCTGGCATCATCAAGTACGTTATCTACAGTGAATGAACTTGTAATCTAGGTAACATGAAAACTTGATCTGTTGACAATTACAGTTAACTTGGACAGTAAGCTGGTGATATTTCTCAGATTTCTTTAAAACTGAACTTATATTCTTGCAAAATAAATAAATTAAGATTTGAACCCTCTTTAGACTATAAATTTGCGAGTCATGCTTTCTACAAAATATTAAAGTCATTCTTTCCATGGCAAACATTTTGTCTCTAATAAGTGATAGTTGTTATAAAATAAATTATTGAGTAATAGTTTTACTTTTCTTAATTCATGTTTTTTTTTTTTTTAAGAATAAATATTTATGTATGAACTACTGTAATATGTTGGGCTATTTCTGTTGCCTATTTCAACAGATTTGTTGCTTATTTATATATGCTTTTAAAATTAATAATATGAATAAATAATAGGTGCTGTTTTGTTGTGTGCAGTTAAAACCTATATGGTAGAGTTTTGGCATCTTGGGGTATGAATGCAGATGCTTCATAGGGTTTGGGCACATTTTTTTCTCACCTCATCATGATGCTTTTCTCTGCATGGAATCTGACCAAATTGCTGGATACCGAACATTTTATCAGAATGCTGGGTTGCAAAAGGGTTTGCTTGGATGTCAAAATTAGCATTTATCTGTTGGACCTCCAACCAACTAAATAATGTTATAAAATTTGATTTCGCTTTGCTCTGAATATATGAATTCTACTGAAGAAAATAACATATAAAAATATGGTATTAGACACTGAAACACCTTTGTTATCTAAAAGTTATACATGTGGCTTATGGCTTCTTTATATATTTACTAGTATTACAGTGTTATTCTGTGTGTTATATTAGTGAAAATGTATACTGATGATAATTGTTATAATTAATAGGTAATACTGGTCTTTATAGTTTATTGTTATGCAAAGTTCTAAGATTTAGTTCTCACTTCAGGACTGACAGAATCATTGGAAAGGCTGCAGCTCAACTGTGTTGATATCTTGCTCATAAATAAAGCAGACCCGATGTGTCCCATGGAAGGTATGTAATTCTGTACAGAGATATTTAAATCAAATGATTATAAGTTATAAAAATAACCTTAAATACCAATACAATTTTAAAGAGATGAAAGTGAAGAGTTTCTTTTTAAACAGTCAGTTGTTTTTATATGTGAACAGTTTCTTTTTAAACTGTCAGTTGTTTTATGTGTTTTATACCAGGCTATTTAGTGTTTTGAAATGGTTGTGTATAAGATTTTATTTCTTTATATTAAAAATAGATTGCTGGGAAAGGAAAGTTTATATTTTGTATGTTTATTTACTGGTACTTAGGTTTTGTTTGCTTCAATCTTTAACAGATGATTTCATTCAGATTGTAAAACAAGTGTTAAATATTTATGACATGATTTGTAGAGGATTTTTAATTTTTTCAGAAGTTGTTAGAGCATGCACTTATTGTGTTAACCAAGGACTGACAATGTACTGGGGTACCTCTCGTTGGTCTTCAGTAGAAATAATGGTGAGACAAAGACTTGCAGTACTTATTATAACCTTGAAGTTTTATTAAGACACAGGCAGAAACAAATCTTTTTCAATGTGTTATTTTGTCTAAGTATTGTTATCATGTTTCACTTACAAAAATGGATAAAGACCTGGATCATGTTATAAATCTCTGTTATGTTAACAAGTGATCAGATTGGTAACAACTGAGTTCTTCACTAATAATAACCCAGTTTCTACTAGTTTTAAGTAAGAAATGGGCGTGTTTCTGCTTGTGTTAATTGTTATTTTGTCATTATTTTACTAGATATAAAAAGTACACTGATGTCTAATCTTATGTTGAATTTACTGGTGTGTCATATAGAAGTCTGTTAACTCAGTAAGTAGTTTAGTCAGGTTTTACTGCATTTATTAACACATCATGTTGTGTATCTTTCTCAGAAACCCTACCCATTTACTCATTACGGCTGATTGAGTAGCAGAATTTGATAATCAATTACTTGTCAAGTTCATTAATCAATTACATCCAACTGAAGGATTATTCTCACATGAGACTTGGATAGTTGGAATAATTCAAAATAGCAAAATAGAAAACACTAATTTCAATTATTTAAGTACTTTTGTGAATTGTGACACTAATCAATTCAGCCAAACAACCTTGAATTAACCAAAAAGCATAATGGCCAATTAAATGGATTATTGTAATAATCAAAAACAGTAATAGTTTTAAACTAATTCTGTTTAGTTGATTATTTTATTCACATTAATTGATTTAATCATAATTTCAATTAATTGATTATATTTCGTGACACTAACTGATGTAGTCAATACTCATAGGTATTTGATTAATCAAGTTTATTGCACACATGTATTACTCAGTAGTTCAGTCATGTTTTAACTTCAGTATGATTTCTGCTGTGTTCTCTGAAGGTTTGTTTATGCTATATTCTGATAGATCAGTCAAACTTCAGTCTTAACTTTCATTCCTTTCTTAGGAAGCTTACACTGTAGCTCGACAATTTAATCAGATACCACCTGTAGTAGAGCAGACAGAGTACCACATGTTTCAGAGGGAAAAGGTGGAACTGTTTCTTCCTGAACTTTTTCACAAAATTGGTATGCTGTTTTTTTTTACAACTTTTTTCGTTTTTTTAACAACCCTTGAAAACCTGTATCATGAGGTAGCTAGAAACATGTTTTTTTTTAAAGAAAATAATAGAAAAGAGACATTACATTACTTTCTTATAAACCATAACTTAAAAGTATTACTGTTTGTCTTTTGTTTTTAATCATGTTTTTAAACAGAGCCTTAAAGAATAGAATGAACCTCAGGCTGTCAAACCAAAATAAGTATAATTCTAAAATACCTAGATATGTACATATAATATCAACATAGGAGAACATTATAAGCATTGTCTGCATGTGATAACACTTCAACGTTTCTTTTTTTTCTCACTATTAGGAATGGGAACTATGACCTGGTCACCTCAGGCTTTTGGATTGTTAACAGGAAAATTTGATGAAGGAATTCAACTTCTTTCAAGAGGATCTGTTCGGGTAGGAAACTCTTGTTCAGACTGTTAGTGTGCAGTTTTTAATGAAATAACATAACCAAGTTATTGTTTTTGACAAAACATAGTAGAGAATGTTTTAGGCTTTGTTCTTTCACATTTCTACTAGTAACATGAGTAGTATTGCTGCTAAGATTTATTAGTATCATATTTTAGAATTGTTAATGAATACTTTCTTCTTCTTTTTCAATAGATATTTGCTCTCAAAGAGATAGTCAGATGGTTTGTATCAGCAATTTCTGAAATTTGGAATCTACAGTTTTAAGAGTGTAATTTCTTCATAATGAGCAGAATTGAATAATAGTTAAAAATGGTTTGATTTACTTTCAGAATTTCTCAGCCTTGCAGGACAAGTTTGGCTCTGAAGAAAGCAGGAGTCCTCATCACCAGTCTAAAATGTATGAAATATCTCTTATTGCTGAGAAGCTTGGCTGCACTGCAACACAACTCGCAATTGGTATGTATGTTTGAATTATTTTCTAGTTAGATAAAAATAAATATCAAGAATTATTATGGTGTGAACACTTTTTCCAAGCTGTCAAAGCATCATTATAATTAAATATACCAGCCTGATGACCTCTGGATGGAACGAAACACATTGTCAACAATTGATATGGAGAACATAGTGTGGTTGGAATACTATTTCCATACACTCTTCTAATTCTTGAAAATCCATAAGAAACTAGATAAAGAATGAAATGCTAAAAATATAACTGGCCTAATACTAATGTCTTATGATAGGTGTAATTAAGTATCAAGAATTTCTGGTACTGTGTAAACACTTCGTAAAGTATTTGATATTACTGGAAATTTTTTCATCTACTGACAACATATATGTTACTTATAATAGACCCTAATAAAAATATTTTAACTGAATAAAAATTAAAAATCTAATTTTCTCTAGTAATAAATAAGGCTTGTCACTAGAATACATGTTTAGATATTTTTAATAAAGTATTTCCAAGTTAATTGTTCTTATGTTTTTTTTTGTATAGTAACTCTTTTAACTCAAATAATCAACTCACAAAAGATTTTGTCACACATGTAATGTTGTACTGTAGAATTTATAATGTTTATAATTTGTATGAATAAACCGTATAAAGCACCTTTACACCTTGCAGCAATTTTTTTAATTCTTTGACTGTAATTTTCATCTTTGTTAGTTTATCTAGGTTGTGCCATCAGCTGCTTTAATTAAACTTAACAGGTTGCCTGTTTAAACAAAAACCAAAGGAGAAGCTGTAATCCTTGTACATTATCTACTGAAGTTTGGATAGACTTGTATATCAATTAACCATGAAATTTTAAAGAATATTATTTATTACAAAGCAAATATAATATGAATGCAAAATACTTTCTACTTGCTAATGTGATGTAGCATTTGCTTGATTTACCTCTGATAACATGCAAGCATAGAAATTATATAATTTCTGTATCATACTTTATAGACTTGTCCTGATAGATTAATCACTGGCAGTGTTCATTCACCCATGGTTTATGTGTACCTTTCAGCTTGGTGCTTGAAGAATGAAAATATTCACTGTGTCCTTGTGAGTGCTTCTACACCAGAACAGCTGGACGAACATCTTCACTCCCTCCAGGTAAAGTTAAAACTGTTATTTGTGACAGCTAAATGCAAATCTAAAATTCAACAAAAGTCGTTTAATTTTACACAGAATTTATGATTCGATGATATTTTAAAATCAGTTGTACTTCTTGTAACAGCTTGACTAAACTAGTAAGGTGATTCAGTTAATGTCATTTATGCTTTCTTTAATCCAAAGTTGATTTAAAATTAGTAATTTCAGTGAGTTACTGAGACCATGGTTCTTCTGATCTGATGAACTGAGTAAGAAAAGATGAATATAATTGCAGAGCTTATACGAAATTTGTAAAATGCACAGTCAGCTTAGATTTGTTTCATTTCTCACTTTTTCTGTTTATGTTGTTTCTACTTTCAATAACCTTTGTAGAAATATATCAATGATTAAAATAAATGAAAAAAGAATAGGTGGCATGACTAAGATTTCAAGAAATGTGATGGTATGCATCAAATTGGAGAAAAAATTGTCTGTATTGAATTATAACTAATTTTTGAAATGAAAAATTTTCATAATTGTATGGATCACTGTAACTTTCAGGCTTTTTATTTCAAGTTGTTTCAATTCTATAAAATACTATACAAACATTAACTTTGTTTTGTGATGATGAAAAAAAAAATTATGTGTGTAAAATTTATTACTTAGTTAATAATGTGTGACACAGAAAACTATTTATTTCTGATGTCCATTTATTAACGCATTCAAGAGTTTGAAAATTGTTTTCTGTTATGTTAACCAATTTTTTATTTTGAGCAACACTAAATATATATATATATATATATATATATATATATAT